CCTCTATCACCATCCGCTGTTCCAACAGGTATTTTAAGCTCTGCTAATCTGTCCTGACAATGAAATGCCTCGCAAGTAGGTAGGGCTGCCACTTATGGATGGCAAAAAATGATGGCCATTAATTCTCTCTCATAGACTGACTTCAGCCTGACTCTAGCAGTCAACACCTGGTTGAAATAGGCAATGAGCCTACGACTCTGCATAAGCACTGCACCCAACCCGTATCCGGACGCATCTGTCTCCACATTGAAGGTCTGAGTGAATCTGGAAAATCTAGGACCAATACCGTAGTCATCGCTTTCTTCAGGCTCTTAAATGCTGATGTGGCCGCCTCCCCCCATAGGAAACCGTCATTCTTCAATTGCTCAGTGAGTGGCCATACTATGGTACTGCATCCCTTTACAAACCTTCTGTAGTAACATGTCAGTCCTAGAAATTCCCTTAGCTCCTTCAGATTTTTTGGCACTGCCCACTTTAGCATTACCTCAATTTTGGACTGATATGCTGCTACTCCTTTTGATACAACATAGCCCAAGTACTCTACACTGACTTGTGCGAAGCAGCATTTCTTCATGTTGGCCCTCAGTTGGTGCTCCTGCAACACATCTAACACCCTTTTTAAATGTTCCCAGTGCTCCTATGTCCTGCTGTAGACCAGGATGCCATCAAAGAATACCAATACAAATCGTCTGAGAGAAGGTTTGAAAATCTTATTCATAAGTGCCTGGAAAGTAGCGGGAGCATTGGTGAGGTCAAACAGCATCACTAGAAACTCATAGTGTTCCTCACGAGTTCTAAAGGCCGTCTTGGGTGCATCCTCCTTCATCTGGATCTGATGGTAACCTGGTTTCAAGTCTATATTGTTGAAGATCACTGTTCCACTCAATTCATTTAATAGCTCATCAATGATTGGTATAGGAAACTTGTCAAGTACAATTTCCTTGTTGAGTGTTTTGTAGTCCACACAAAAATGCTAGCTGCAATCCTTCTTTTTCACCAATAGAACTGGACTAGAGAAGGGATTGATGCTGGGTCTGATGATTTCTACCTCCAACATCTTTCTAATCAACTTTTTGATTTCATCTTTTTTGGAACTAAGGGTAGAAATAAGGTCGTACACTAATGGGTGACACTCCCTCCCTTAACACGATGACGTGCTCCTGCTCCTTCTGCAGTGGCAATCTCTGAGGCTACTGAAATACCTTTTGGAACTACTAAATCAACGGTTGTATAGAGAGGGGTATGTCCCCTCCCTCTTCTAATCTAGCTCCCTCCAAACTGTGCAGCTCCAAATATCCTCCGCTTGCCAACTGTATATCCCTCACCATAGTTTTAAGAGAAACCATGGATTTGGATAGCCCCACATCTCCCTTAATCATCACATTCCTTCCATCTACCATCAACTCCATCACAAGTGCTCCCCAATTCACTTTGGTATTTCTTAAAGTCTGCAGCCATTTCATCCCCAGGATGATATATGTACTCTCAAGCTCCAGTGGAAGAAAATCTTTCTTCACCTGAATCCCTTGGATAGTCAGTAACACTCATCTGCAAATCTCTTTGCCCTTCTCCACCTTCCCCGTACCCATCATCACCCTGTAGCAAACTGTATCCACCAATCTCACTCCCATCTGGTCAACGACCTAAGTGGAAATGAAATTGTGGGCAACCCCACTATCAATCAGCACCACTACCTCCCTGTCCTCTATCTCCCCTTCATTATCGTGGTATGATTCGTCGTGAATTCTACCACTGAGTTCAGGGATATCTCAGCCAGATCTAAGTGCAACTTCTCGTCCATCTCCTCCTCATCTCCCTCAGTTTTCTCGTCATCACAGACGGTGAGAACTTGAAGAGTTCGGTCCTTGCATCGATGCCCTGGCGTATACTTTTTTCATCCCACCTGAAGCACAACCCCTTATCCCTCTTTTCTTGCATCTCTTTCTCTGTCAACCGCTTGAAATTTCCCCCACTCCCTCCTACTGTCTTCTCCTTGGTGGCCTCCCGACTTCCCCCTGTTGTAGGACCTTTAAGCGCTAGGTGGGTGGTCATCATCCTGTAAGTCCCCCTGTGCTGCTACTCTTAGCTCCCCTCTCCAAATTTCTCAGATTTTCAACAAGCTGGGCCAACTTCATGGCCTCCCCTAAGTCACGGGGCATCAGAACCTTCATTGTTGCTCGGATCTCCGCCTTCAACCCCTTCATAAAATTTTCCTCCAATACCGTATCTGATAATCGCTCCACCCTGCTAGCTAGGTGCTCAAATCGCTCTCGGTAGTCTGCTACTGATCTCTCCTGTGTCAGAGCAAAGAATTGCTTATAGAAATCTCCTCCCCGATCGGTTTGGAAACGCTCAATTATGCAGTCATTGAATTTCCTCCAGTTCCTAATAGGCATCCTCTGGTCTCTCCACTGATACCACGACATGGCTTTTCCTTCCAAGCATAAGCTCGCTGCTGTCAGCTTCTCCTCCGTCAGACCATTGACGGCGAAGTATCGCTCCACCTTATAAATCAACCCATATGCATCTTCTGCTTCGATTATGTGCATCTTCAACTTCCTCATCTTCTGGTGGCCACCATTCCCCCTGATTCTTCCATAGTTTCCCCTCTCCGAAGTGCTAGGCCCACCCCATATTTCTCGGTCTTCCTTTGCCCTTTCATAGCCCAAACCCCCTTCGAAATCCCCCATTCTTTCTTCAAAATCAGCACCTCAGCAACCATAGTATCCCTCATGGCGTTCCCCATATCCACCTCCTCTTCCTTCCCTCTAGACAGGCTCCAGATGGGATCTTCTTCTTTCTCCTTCCATGATTTTAACCTCATCTTCCTCACAAATTTCAGAATTCGTACTTTTTTCCTTTCACCCCTTTTGCCACGAAAGCCGGTGTTTGATTTTGAATTTCTAACATCTTCTTCTTCATGTCCCGAAGATCAGTGACTTGTCCTTTCATGGAGGAAATCCTTTCCTCCACCGTTGTATTGATTTGATTCATCTGCCCTTCAAACCTTTCTTCCAAAACATCCACCTTCTTGGCTGCCATCACAATCCGGAGTTTGTAGATTCACAAAATCTGAAATTGGGACAAAAAAATAGCAACTTTCTCCTTTTATGGGCCAAAAACTGCCACAGGAATTTACCGAAAACAACTCTCCACTGGTCCCAAGACTTGCTTTGATAACAATTTGATAAGAAATACTTGAGTTTGCAAGTAATCCTAACGGATGTACTTGAGTTCGCAAGCAAACCTAATAATAATCGGTAAAACAATGAGAAAATAATAGAATCGTGGTGGAAAAACAATCAAACGATAGCAAATCTTATAACAAACAAAGAGAAACAAACACAAAGTAAAGATACAAGAGATCCTCAATTCGAGAGGAGGATCGTCTCTCCCAAATCTCTAGACAAAAGAGTCTAGAGCCCAAACGTCAAGAAAACCTTAATTTCAATCAATCAAAAACATAATCCCCACTAATCCTCTCATACACTTTAATACAAAAGCTTTCCTAATCAATTTCCCCCTAAAGCCCCCCCCCCCTCTTCACTTTGATTCAGTTGGCTGGTGGGACTCTCACCCATTTATGGTCGGGAAAAACCAGAGAGGAGGTGGACTATTTCCGCCTCCTGTTCACATGCTGAGCCGGTCTAATGGCCGGCTGGGCCGGTTCAGGCCAGCCTGAACCGATGTATCACTCTCCATTGCCTTTGCCAGTGGACTTCATACCCTATCGACCTTTAATATCCTATTGGAGCTGCTAAGCATGTTGCAAGCGCTAGAAACCCAAGTCAATGATGTTGATCACTGCTTGATGACAACCTAAGGGCCATCAAAGAGTTTTGACTATATGGAGATGTTGATGAGTTATTCTATTCTTTGATTTGGATTAACATTAACGAATGATGGTTAAAACTCATGCTAGATCTAAGGCTGGTAGCACAATGGTCTTCAAGCTCTATTTGATTCTAAGATCAAAGGAGTGCAGGGTGGCCTTTGATCCCAGTTAGACCAAAGATTGAACAATGTAGGCCTTGAGTGGCTCATCTAAGGAATAACCTACTTGTGTCTTCTCCCATGTCAGCTTTTCTATGTGGAAAGAGGGAAGTGTTTATAGCCTTTTGGGTGCTTCCCCGTAGGGGGCTTGAGGTGTGCTTGTGGATGCTGCAGATGTAGGTTGTAGACCTCACGATGTGCGATGTGGCCTGAGCAGTTGAAACATGATGAGGGAAGTGGCATAAAGATTAAAGATCTTGGATAGGCGTGGTTGTAGTGGCTAGGGATTTGATAGATCTTTCGATATGGAAGGAAGGAGAGAAATTATACTCGGTATGATCCAACCTGTTTCATTTTTTTTTTCCATTCAAAATCATTTTAATTGATTTTAAAATTCAGAAAAATGTCATAAGATATTTAGTTGATTAGGGAATATCAAATAATTTTCCTAGGTAATTATGCAAGTTTTATTTGCCTAATTAAGCTATTAATGGGTGGCCCAATGGATTATATTTGAATGCAAACAATGAGAAAGTTGATTATTAAGTTACAAAGAGGTACAAAAGTGAAGCAGAAATCAATTTTCTGCTTTTGTTATCTTCATGCGATTTTTTTTTCTGTTTTGCGTTTATTGGTGCTTCCTATGATTGTTTCGTGCATCTCCTCACCGCTTATTGTTTTTTTAATTGTTACTTTTCAGTCAAATAGTTACTTTCTTTTTCTTTGGAGATATTCTGATGCATATATTTTAACCGGTTGTTCTTCAAAATGATTTTTGTTCTAGGAATTTAGCAACTGAGTTATATTTTCTTCATAGGTTCTTCAAGTTGGTATCTAAAGCTTTATTCTCGTTTCTTTGCCTATTCTCAGTTGAAGAAGAAAGTGTTTTACTACTATTTTATCTGGATGCAGGGAGCTTCTTTTTGAGATGATGTAATGATTTTATGTGTGATAGAAGTTTATCTTACTGCGATTTCAAGTTTTTAAATGTGTTTTGTCTGCCACAGTTATTGAAAATGGTTTTTGCAAGAGTTTTTGCTCAAGAATATGCTCTGAGGCCTCAAATTTGAGACGTGTAATTGAATCTAGTAGCATGCAGACTTCAGAAGTTGGTTCTAGTGCTGGTGCAGAATGGAGGAGTTTAGAAAGAGAGCACAGGGTATATTCATATTTAAGCCACTGCATGTTTTCACCTGTCGCAAAAAGAGACTGCATTCTTGAGTCAATCTGTGCCTCCAGCACTGATAATATTCCAGACGAGGGCATTGAAAACACACTGGAACCTAGGGATCGTGTTGACATGAGACCTTCATACTGGTCAAGTGGTGGACAAAAAAATCCTGAAGTACCTGAGACATTAACTTACAGTTTGCTTTCAAAGTTGTGTGTTATCAGTGAGATAAAGATACAGCCGTTTGAAGGTTATCACTGTGCTTGCCACTGTTTCTTTATAGTTGATGCTATCCTGACATGACTTGCTAATAAGTTATCTTTATTTTCAGCATACTTCCAGTACGACAATCCCATATATTCAGCAAAATTTGTAAGGTTTCGGATGGGTTATTGCACGGTACCTTCCGAGTCTTTTAATGATGGTCAAATTAGTGCAGGTGATAATTATAAGTGGATCTATGTTTCACCTGAATTTCCAATGTTGCAGGTAATGTTGAAATTCTTGCGTTCGTTTTTACATCTTATTGCTATGTACTTTTTTAAAGCATAGAAATCTATCTCATGAGGTATATTTAATTAATTGAAAATTAGGCAGAAGATCAGAAGGGCATAAGACTACTTACGAATCTAATTTCATTTAAGGGCATAAGACTAATTACGAATCTAATTTCTTGTAGGGAGCTAGTGAATATTTATATAGAAAATGTCACACGCTAAACTCGAAACTGTGACCTCTACTCTAGAAATCAAGAGCCCCTTTATGTGTATCAGCAGGTTCTTTGTGGCAGTTAGATGGACAATTACTATTTTTTTGTTCTTTCTGAAGTCACTATTGCAAATATAATCGACCATAAACTATGCAAAACCTTGATCTTTTGGGATTGAGAAACAATTTGCTTACTTTTTGGTAAATTTATTTTTGGTAGATGTAATTTGATCAGAAGAGTGGTGATTGTTTGTGTTGGAGCATTTGGAGGCTTGAAGCTAGTTGTCAACATACGTCATGAATCAAATTCATAAAATAAGAGAATCTTATGATAGTATGGTTGTGGTTATAGTGGCTGTTTGAAGTTGATTTGTAAGAATGAAGAAGCATGTAATAATATAGTGATTTGAGTAGTGTCTTGAATAGCAATCCTTCAACTAATAGGGAATGCTGACATCTCTATACATTTTGCCACTATATATGAACACTTGTTTTATACTCTGGCGGTGGAAACAGTGGAAAGGTAAGTAAACTAGTGGATTGAGCAATATCATAGGAAGCTAGGGAACAACCTGTATCTCCATATATTACATTATGCAAATACATTGACCAAAAGTTCCTCAAATTCAGTGTCATTTCGGTGTCTTGTGTAGCCTCCCGGATAAGCTTTGGATCAAACTTAATCTCATCATTAAGACATGTTGTAGTTTGATGAATTTAATTACTTAATTTAAGGAGCAAAATATTTTAATGAATATATGAATGAATTTCAGGGATTTTCAATATTTTTTTGAAATACTTTAAAATCCTAAAATAATGCTGATGAGATTTGAATTTGTATTATGGACATATTGAAAGAGAAATTGATGTGAAACGTACAAGCATGAATGATTAAATTAAGGAAGTTTGCACGCTTAAGTTTTAGAGAACAATAATAAGCAAGATCTCATGTTGATTTGAATGATAAAATAAAATATTAAAGTGGTAAGTAGCATTGGTTAAATTACATGCATAGAAGTTAAGAGCATAAAAATCAATCAATTTAATCTACTTTTGCATTCGTGAATGGTCTCAACAATAAATCCCTTCGTTAACATTAAGACTAGCTACTACAAGGAACCCTTCACTCAACTCTTCCTATTACTAGGCTTTAGCGGAGGGACCAACAACATTTTTGTGAATCAAAATATAACCACGTGGGAGAAATAAACTAAGAGTCTAAAAGAGTCGGAGGTCAAGTTTACCCGAAGTATGAAGTATACGAGGCTCCGGCGGTCATAGGAAGGCTTGGAAGGAGGTAGGTGGCATCCACGAACCTTCTTGAAGGTGTGATCAGCAATCTGAACTTTAAAATCAGCAAGACAACAATAGGAGATAGCTAGACTGCTGGACAGCCATTTTGATACTTGGGAAACTCTGGACAGCAACCTCTAATGCTTGTATAAACCTTGGGCAGCTGTTATGGGCTGCTGGAAGCTTTTAGACAGCAGCTTTAAACTTCCAATGATGCAGGACAGCAACTATAACAGCAGGGACAGCTGCTTTGACTGGGGAGGATTCTGGAAAGCCAAGGAAACGTGCTGGAAATTCTGGCAGCCGGCTTGGAGAACAGGAAACACAGAACGGGTGTATTGAAAGGAAATCCCACAGGAAAACCTTGGGGAATTTCGGCCAGCAAAGGGATTAGGGAAAGGATTTAATTTCTCAAAATAGAAGGCTGATTTTGGTAAGGTTTAAACGGTGCAGGCCAGAGAGGAATTTCGGCCAGGTTTTAGGGAAAGGATTTTGAATTCTTTCCAAGTGCATGTAGGGGCTTAGGAAATAAATCATTGCACTTATTATAGAAGGGGGGGATTAAATTCAAAACTGAAATTGATTTCAGATTTTGAATACTTTGGAGGGAATTAATTTGAAATTGATCTCAAATTAATTAGATTTTGGGGGAGATTAATGAGCATTGAATGGGGGACAATTAAAGGGGTGGCCGGCGGTTTCAAGAGAGAGGGAGGAGGGATTAATGCTAATCATGAAATTAATTTCAGGATTTGGGGAGTTTTGGGGGGAAATTAATTTGAATTTGAAAATCAAATTAATTAGAGAGAGAGGGGGAGTTAATGTGGCATTAGTGGGGGGAAGCCTAGGTGGCCGGCGGTTCAAGAGAGAGAGGGAGGAGGTGGGAGTGAGTTATGATCCTTCCAAAATTAGCTTGTTTGCTTTAGGAGGATTGATCATGAAATCCACTTCAATTTGAATTTCAAATTGACGAGAATTCGAAAACTTTCCTAATTAAGAGAATTCCAAAATAGGAAAGTTTTGAATTTCAGATTTGAATTTCAGAATTTGACCAAGTGGAAATGGGGAAGTGAGGCCGGTGATGGGCTTGGCTTGGACGGGCGGTGGAGGTGGGGCTGCCGGCAGCTGAGAGGAGGCTAAGGCCGGCAGGTTGGGGGAAAGGAAGGGGGATCGGATGTCGGGGATAGACCACGAACCACGGACTCTTCCAATGACTGGTGGGTATTGCTTTTCGCCCTCACCTTGGGCTCTCGTTCTCCTCTCTAACTCTCCACAAGAAGAAGAAGAAGACAAGATAATCAAAACAAATTTTCATTCATAATCTTCATTAGCCCTTCTCCAAGAAGAGGAGGGATTTAAATAGACAAATACAAGAAGGGAAAAATAAAAGACAACAATGCCCTCGAGGCTTACAAAGAACTAATCCCTTAAGCAAGGGCATAAATGGAAAAAAAAGACAGTAAATAAATAAATAGATCACATATAATTGAAATAAAAAAGGCGTCATCATAGCCGTCGATCATCGGCCACGTCCCTGATGGAACATTAAGGGTATGATGTCCGCATCAGAAATGAGACATCATCAGATTATATTACGTGAGTAAGCTTTATAATTTGTATTAGATTCTGAACAATTACTGAAATTTTATACCATTTAATGAGTTACTACTTATATTAGAAATATGTTGTATCATTAAAATAATCAAACTTAACATATTGCTCTTAATGCATCTAGGGATAGTAACACCACTCAATATACTCTACATGTAAGTCATCTAAGGTAGTAACACCGTTATTAATAAGGATACTTAAATTAAAGTTTCTTGCTGCTACATTTGAGTTTAAGGTTTTGCAGAAGTATATGTTAAGTGTTATCAGATGGTTCACTATGTGAATGAATGTTAAATAAAAATTTATTTATGGATATAAAAAGGAGAAAATAAGAAAATTAATTTGGAATGGCATTCATGATTTTGATGCAAAAATAAGTGATTATAAAGATATGTATGATGGAACGCTATTTAAATGAGATGTATTATTTTTACACCTAAAGTTGATTATGATTAAAAAGTGAATTTTATATGCTGATAAACTTTATAAGCTTATCATAAACAATGTTAGTTGTAAGGATGTCTTGGCTGATTCAGCGATAGATCACATGAAATTAAAACTTGAATTACATTTGTATCCATTTTAAATAGCATTGCTAGGTGTAAGACTTCAGTATCTATTTTATAGATGTTTAGTGCTTATTCAACTTACTAATAATGATAAATTTAATATGATATCTTATCTAAGAATGTAGCATATTATTCTAGGTCTTGCATGATTACATGATCTTAATGTTACTCACGTTGGGCATTCTAATACATATGTATCCAATAATAATGGAAGAAGAATTTCACTAAAGAATTTGATGCTTTAAATGATCCGAAGAGGCGTTGCATATTTTAAATCAATATTGCTTTTTTTAAAATGAGATTTAGAAGGATTGATTTCTGCTTTAATGGTTATATAATCTAAAGATGTTAATATTGAAAGTATGAATACAATTGAAGATGTTAAGTAAGTACCATCTAATTTTAAGAAATTTAATCTTGATTAATTACCGCCACTTGGGAGCACACATATTGTAAATTGGATTCTTGGATCATCTTTATCTTATCAATCTCATCTTCTAATAAATCCAATCAAACATAATGAACTTAAGAGACAAATAGATAGCTTAATGCAAAATTAGCTTATTATAATGAGAAATATTGATGGAAGTTGGTTTTTATGTATGAACATGTGGGGCTTGTAAGTTTGAAGAGAAACATATTTACTGAATTATTTATTAATAAAAGACAACAATTTAATATTTATAGATATTTGGTATCCTTTTACTTTTAATTTCTTTGCTAACTTGCCAAAGTAAACAATTTAAAATTTTAAATTCAAATGAAAGGAATATCTTCCAATTATTTGTTATACCCATTCATTTATTTTCAACTAGAGAAATTGTACCAGTGTATGAACAATTTCTTTTTCCACTTAATCCAATTGGCGCCTGTTTGGATTCCATTCATATTTTTCTTATTTTTATGCTCTCCCTTTAGTTAGAAAGCATTCGTTAAGTAACCTGAGGAAACAAAATTGGGATTTGAACAATCCTTTGTAAGGATATTTGCAATTTGTTGGGAGGTGGGAATGATAAGTATGCAAATAATTCCTGCTTCAAGTTTTTCCTTTATAAAGTGACAATCAACCTCAACATGCTTCATTTTATCATGTCTGATAGCGTTGTGTGCTCTACTTACCATGGCTTTGTTTTCATAGTATAGTTTCATTGGAAAATCTACAATTTTTTGTAGTTTAACCTAAATTTGTTGTAACCACATTAGTTCAACTACCGCACTGACCATGACTATATATTCTACTGCAACGCTACTCCGAGCTACTGCATTTTATTTCTTACTCTATATTACAATTTTGTCGCTGCATACAAT